AAAAAGACCCAGGGCGAGCAATCGTATATCAAGATTTTCTATGGTCTAATAAGATCTTACAAGATCTTACTCCAATAAACCATAAGATTTCAAAGAATCTTGTAAGATCTTTTGACTTCTTGTAAGAGCTGATAAGATTTTGTATGTATGGATATGATACCATACCGTGTGAACGATGAAATACGACGAAGTTACGACAGTCGTATACGGTCGTTTGTGATAAGCCAAATTTCTGGAAAAAAGAAAAAGAATGAGAAAACTTATACGACTATCGTAACTTCATCGTTTGCAAGGTATCGTATCCATACACGTTTACGACCATCGTATTTTGACGTATTTCAGCGTAAACGATCGTATACTGCCTGGGATGAAAGACCTGGGTAGGCAGAACACAAAATTTGCTAGCACCTTTTTGGGTGAGAGAGTTTTCATAACCTCAGAAACTCTCTTTCATGGTAGAAAAGTCTAAGTCAAATGAGAATCTCTTACTAGAAATTACTTGACTTGAAAAAGATTTGAAACAAGTCAAGTCATACCCTCAGAAAATTTTGGATCAAGTCAAGTCTGACTTGACTTGTACTTCAAGGCATTTTTGACTTGCCCAACTCTGGTGGCAACGTTTAAATGCATTTATTTCGCATTTTTTTAAATGTCAAATAACAGGCATTTAACTGCGGCCAATAACCCTGCTGGTAATTTTTTTTTTGTTATCTAAATATCAATTTTGAGACCGTTAGAAAATGTGAAAAAATATTTTCTGAAACTATCACCTGCACCGATCCAAGAACTACAGACTACTTCTTCGAGGCAAGTTTAAGATAAGATCCTGTAAGATCTTGATCTGATTTTTTGACCTGGGATCAGGCTCAAAATCTTATAAGAGCTGATGACGTCGAAAACTATGTTGGTCTATGTTGCGGTCAAGATAAACTTTCAGTAAAATTTGTTCTATGAAGCGCCAGTGTCACTGTGATTTACGGTGATACTGGCACTTAGTAAAAGAAATTTTAATGAGCTTATCCTGACCCTTCGTTCCGTTGAAGAAAGTGATGATGTTGGAGACAATGTTTGGTCTTGGCTATCGAATGGCGAAAGCTCCTGGCGAGTCCCTAGCTCTTTTCGTCTCAGAAAATTCAAAAAATGACCGCGGTCTGTATTTTATTGGATAGACAATAATTAGATGTGTAGGTTGGTTTTCTTTTTTTCTTATTGATTCTATTACCATTTAAAATAAACTGGTTTGCCTTGTAAATAAAAATGAAGTAGAGAGAGACATGGTCTAATGGTACAAAGTTATAGCGAACACAAAAATTATCGATGAAACATGGTGGAAAAGATAGGGTACTAAGCCATTCAGCATGCCCAGGTCCATGAGTACGACCATATACGTCAAATTATGACGGTGTAATTTTACGTATGGTATAGTATTTCATCGTATTTTGACGTGTACCCGGCCAACGTATTACGTCAGTCGTTACGACCGTCGTATTTCAACGTAAACAACGCCGTTTACGATAAACGTAATACGTTGGCCGGGTTTACGTCAAAATACGAAAAATTACTGTAGTATAGTAAAAAATGTAGGTAGCTATATTTCCTTGTATTCTACAATTTTGAACATAGAAGAAAAAACAAAGAAGTCAACAATGTCTCGTATAAGATTTTGTAAGATCTTAGAAGATCTCATAAGAACGATGGATGACTCATCTCTAGCACATAAATTTTGCGACGATACATATATGCCCCGGTCAAAAAATCATATCAGGATCTTACACGGTCTTATTAAATCTTACGGAAACTCATGCAAAATTTTACGAAATCTGATGAAATCTTACTATAAGACCTTACATCAAGAATCAGCTTATGTATTCCTTACAGAATCTTACAAATTCTTATACGAATCTGACGCAATCAGAAGGAATCGTACAAGAATCTTATAAGACCTCAAAGTAAGATTCTTTGACGCGGGTTGTTATTTCCTTTATTTGTTTTTATTCTTTTTTATCTCTCCCCTAGTCAAAGAATCTTACTGTAAGATCTTAGATTCTTGTATGATTTTTATAAGATGAATCCGTTTCTATGATTTTCCGTAAGATTTTATAAGATCGTGTAAGATCTTGATCTGACTTTCTGACCTGGGTAGCGAGTAACAGCATAGGGCTTGCTCCATAACTGTAAACATGGTTAAGTACTTCTGTGAAAGGATGCTGAATTAGAGTTATTTTGAATGACGATAAAGAAGATGAACGAATGACTGAGTCCGGAAGTTTATTATAGCCAGTAACTGTTGAATAAAACAAGGAAGAATAATCGGTTTGTGGAGAGAAAAACTATTGACTAGAGATGAAACACGGACATATTTCCAGTGCTGGTGCAACGTAAAGAAGAATAATAATGTGAGGACGATCAGCAGGATAGAAAATGGAAAGAGGGTCAGGATGATGATAAATTTTGAAAAACTGTACAATGAGACAATTGTCGAAATTTCAGAGCTAATTTTGGTGAGATTTTTCAGATCAGAATCAGTTATTAGAAGAAATAACTTCCAGTACACAAGTAATGTTCATCTGCGATTCGCTGAGCCGCCACCGACACCTTTGTATAAAGGGTTAGTTTTGACCTGCCAAGAGTAAAGTAAAATAATTAAGATATTTTTTCATGTCAGAAATTGCTACTTAAATACGTAGCAGTTGTCGCTATTTGACGGAGATTCAATGTATCTGGTGTCACTGCTATTATGTGGAGAGACATTTTGTTTGTATGACTCTCAGTCTAGGAAATATGAATTTTAAGAAACTTCTGAGACGGAGAATTTTATCTGATTTGCTTTTACTGTTATAATCTAGGCTAGATGGTCAGGTGATCGAGAAAGTTTAGTAACCACTTTTTGATAAGAAAATGTCGGTATTTTTAAGCAAAATCATTCTTATGGTTCAGTGCAACGCTCTTATTGGCGCGTAAGCTCCAATGGTTACAAAACCACGACAGACCAGCAGTCTCGTCTCACTATCCCGAAATGTTAGGGTAAATCTGTAAGAATGTCGTGCTAAAAGTGACAGTGTTACGTTCAACATCACACTTCTAGCATAACACTGTTACACACTTACCCTAGCATTTCGGGATAGTGCGTCGCACTCAAGATCTCTGTGAATATTTGCAGCAAAGTTGCCACCTGTACGAAATCGTAGCCCTAAAATTCGGAAAAAGGACGAAAACTTACTTTCACTGCCTTATTTAACCTTTTCTACTGCGCAGAGTATCAAAAAAGGTTTCTTCTCTAGCTGTATCTGATTTTATTCGATAAAATACCAAAAATCATAAACCTAAAAATAAATTTTTAATCGATGCGCTGTTTTGGAAATGTATATTTTTGATTCGAATGAATGTATTTTAACAGTTCTGGATTGGATAAAAAATAATTATAAATTTGAGTTGGAGTGTTTAAAAAACACTTAAAAATCTTCATGATCAGGGAAAAACACCCAAAAGCAGAAAATTCTCAAAATCTGGACAAATCACAGACGTCAGATAAATTCCGGAAAAAACTCAAAAAACCGAAATTTGTCCGGATAAACTGACAGCTATGATCTGTAGCGCAATTGAAGACAAAGGTACAGATATAGGCGATTGGTCGATGATTAGTACCTAGTATTTTAATGTGCTTTTTCCTCTGATTCTAATTTCTATTGAAACTCAAATAGTTTTTATCCTTAACGGTTGGTTCCTTTTATTTTTGTTCAAAGGCTAACTATTTATGGAGAGTTTGTTTGAAGCTATTGCATATCATCATCAATAATAACTTCTCAAAATAAAATGTCTGCCATCGAATTTTGAACTAGGCACTTTTTGTTATTGGCGCTTTTGTTAGCTAGCGGAATTAGCGTATTAGCCTAACGGCGATAGATGTCGTCTTACCAAAATTTGGATGTCTGTATTTCACTTTGAAGAATGTAAAAAATCGAGCATAATGATGTATTTTTTCGTCTTTGTAAAGTAGTTCTGAGGACAGAAAATTCTATTTCCAAATACAGTTTCATTAATTTTCAGTTTTTCAGAAAAACACTGGTGCTTAAATTACAGAACTAATGAAATTCGTCAAAATCTGCAGTTTTTATTAATTAAATTTAAACTACGGTTTAGTCTGTTTTAGTTAAGTAAAAATTTTTAAGGTATGTTTTGGAGCGATCATATCAGAATAAAGAAATCGAAGAATTTTTAATCTCTGAAAGTGTTCGTCGCAGCCAGTATGAAACTGCATTCACGTATTTTTAAAGGCCATATTACATACCACAGGATGAACAGCACTGATATATTCTCTAGGTTACCTCTTTTTGGTACATATGTTATATTGTAACGTTGAGTGTTCGAATATATTGACGAAGGTTTTCGATAAACGATCGATAGAACGAGACTCATTTGCACATATGAATTTTATTTATTTAACTTTTTGTAGAATTCGCAGTTCATGAATCTGAATTTATTAAGAATTATTTCAAGAGCCAGTAAAGAACTATGTGGAATTCGAAGGCTAGCTCATTTTACATTTGTCAAAGATCAACCCGATCCTTCGCTAGGTAAGGTAACATTTATATCTAAAATAAGATAGATCAAGATTCTTTTTTTTCTATTTAGGCCAAACAAAGGAAATGAATCTTTGTCAAGCAATTCAAAATGCAATGGATTTAACACTTGCAAATGATCATACAGCTAGTATATTAATATATTTATTTATTTATTTATTTAATTAAATATACTTGTTTTTTTCTTTTTATAGTTGTGTTTGGAGAAGATGTTGCATTTGGCGGCGTATTTCGTTGTACGGTGGATTTAAGACAAAAATATGGTAAGAGTTAAACGACTGTTACCACATTTAACTTATTTAAGGGCAATAATTTAAGAACGAAGATTAGTAATACAACAGTGTGTTTGAAATTTATTATTTTTCTTTTTTATTTATCGAAGTTTCGAGGATACAATTCTCATTATCAAAAGAAGACACGTAACAGCAAGTAAGATACTTATCGTATGATAAAATTGAAAATATGACTTTTATATAAAAAGCTAAAATAAATAAATAAATATGACGCAGTTTACATAAAAGTCATATTTTCAATTTTATTTTAGGATAACCATCTTACTTATTGTTACGTGTCTTCTTTTGATAGTGAGAATTATATTCTCGAAACGTGGATAGATAAAAAGTAAAAAATTAAAATAATAAATTTCAAACACGCCGCTATATTACTAACCTTCGTTCTTAAACTGTTACCACTTTCATAAAAATACTCCCTATATATCCTAAATATCCTATTGATGAACTTTACAAGATATCAAAGCAGACATTGACTTTATCTAATCTATTGAAAAGAAAGAATGTGATTCATTATTTTGTACTCATTTTTACTTAGCTATCGACGCTATCTGCATCTTTTTCCAAACAAAATTTTTTTTGTCAAGAAATATAGTTTTGAATAACCCGTATTGGATGAACGTGAGTGAAACTGCTATAAGAGAAAATTTTTTACTCCAAAAGCCTGCTGGATGATTTATGACCAAAGACCAACATTTTCGATGGAGTTTTTTTGATTGAAAAAATGTTGGTTAGAACTAACATTCAACGCAGTTTTTCCTGCTAATTAAAATAAAAGATTCTTTTTCTATTCGGGATGTTAGATACGAGTCCACGACAAATCATCGAAAGTATTTTCATCGAACGACTCTTCATCGAAAGATTTTTCATCGCACGGACTTTTCATCGCTAGAACTTTTCATCGCAATATATTTTCCAGGTATCTATAATTTTTTCTTTTCAAATTTGTACAAAAGTTGTGACGAAAAACAAGTGGGACATAATTGAAACAGTGAACATAATAATTTTCAGATGAGACTAGTAGCTACAATTGTCTATAATTTTATATTATGAGCTAGATTTTCTAGTTGATCCATAATATTTGAATGAGGATTATTTATTAAATGAAGTAATCGTTTTGTATGATCCAAATACTTTTTTCCTGCTTCAGCAGCATCACCCGCATCTATCTTCGATGAAAAGTCCGTGCGATGAAATGTCGTCGATGAAAATACGTTCGATGATTTGTCGTTACCTCGTTAGATACGGAGGAGCTTTCTGGATTGGATAGAAAATCAGGGAGAAAATATAACAGTGGACGTATTTTTGCTGTAGACTTAAAAATGAAAACAAAGTTTTCCACTAACTCATGAGAGACTTTTTGTTTGTGCTTGCTGATACGTGTTATCAGTTTTTATCGCATGATTAGTAAAAACATTTAGATGTATTTTCTCTCCTGTCGCACATCGAGAAAATAAGTTATAGTACCTGCGAGCACAAAAAATTCGCTCTCTTCTACTCATATCAAAAAGACCGGTTTATCAACTATTTCATCAAAATGAACATCATTACCAAATTTAAAAAGCTTTTTCCTTCATCAGTAGACGGATGAGTTCTTCACTACTCACAACAATAAGCGTTAAAGTTTCTGATAAAGTATCAATGTATTTATATTTAAAATCAGATTATAAATCTGCACAACTTACTAGAACTAATGAGGAATCTTTTGCAGATTTATGAGATTTCCCATGTACAAAACGTGTAAAATGTTAGTGAATAAGTATGCGAAAACTTATCAATATAATTTGATCTCTCGTCAATAGCTATAGATTTCTCTTCTTAATGTTTAACTGGAATTGATTAAAAACTATTTTGTAAGCTAGTTCTATTGAATCATTCTGACATTTTGAATTCCATTATCATTTTTTAATCTGTCAATTTTTCGCATCGTTTGAGAAGAAATTGATTGATTTAATGACTTACCATATTTACAAACTCAAGAAAAAGTTTTTTCACTTGTCCATTAAGAAATTATTGATGACTTTCTCAATACAATTTTTCTTCTATTCTTTGTTAATGTAAAACATTCCTTTCCAAGTAGTACATATATACAAATTATAATATTAGAGCACGAACATATTATTGATGGTTAAAAACTGAATATATATACGTCTATTTTAGGAGCCGATCGGGTATTTAACACTCCATTATCGGAACAAGGAATAGTTGGTTTTGGAATCGGAACTGCCGTCTCTGGTGCTACAACAATTGCCGAAATTCAGTTTGCAGATTATATATTTCCGGCCTACGATCAAGTAAATTAAAAACCTGTAGATTATTTGTTTTTCTCTAAAAATCACTTGTTATTATGTAGATTGTGAATGAGGCAGCAAAATATCGATATCGTTCGGGAAATTTATTTGATTGTGGTCGATTAACGATTCGTGCTCCATGGGGTGCAGTTGGTCATGGAGCTCTCTACCATTCACAATCACCTGAAGCACAATTTCTCCATACACCGGGCATTAAAGTATATAAAAATGTCACTTGCGTACAAAAATTTGAATAAGATTATTTTGACTACTAGGTTGTTATTCCACGTAGTGCAATTCAAGCAAAAGGTTTACTACTCTCGTGCATTAAAGATAATAATCCATGTATATTTTTCGAACCAAAAATTTTGTACCGATCGGCAAAAGAAGATGTTCCAATTAAAGACTATACAATTCCGTTATCGAAAGCAGAAGTATTAATTGAGGGTAATCAACCGCTAATCTGAATCTTACTTGATATTTTTTTGTTTTACTCAATTTAGGTACTGATATAACAATGGTGACTTGGGGTACCCAAGTACATGTACTAAGAGAAGTTATACAAATGGTAGCTAAAGAAAATATATCGTGTGAACTAATTGATTTACGAACAATTGTACCATGGGATGTGGATACAGTGTGTAAATCTGTGGTGAAAACGGGAAAATTATTGATTAGTCATGAAGCTCCAATAACAGGTGGCGTGGGAGCAGAGATAGCAGCAACGGTTATGGTAAGTTTTTGTTTTAAGAAAAAATTTTACTACTAACATTTGTCTTTTATGTTTACTTTTAGAAAGAATGTTTTCTTAATTTGGAAGCACCCATTGAACGTGTATGTGGTTATGACGTACATCCAATACCTCATACATTTGAAGCATTTTATATCCCAAGTAAATGGAGGTGTTTTGATGGTGTTAAGCGTTTAATGAATTACTGAGTGAGAATGATTTTTTTATTTTCATTTTTTTGTACATGTATGCGTACACTCGCACCGAAACGTGTTTAACAGTGGTGATATATGTGTGTATTTTTTTAGGTGCTCAACTTTTTTTCATACATATTTTCATTTTGCGTGTGTTTTTTCTACTTTATATATTTATATAAGTGTCCGCTTCTCATCTTATATCCTCTATTTTCACAGCCAAAGGGAATTTACCGTATTTGAAACTACAAATATTAGATATACAGTTTTTAGGAGTGCATCAAAATCATTAGAGAGCGTATCAAAGCATATGGCTGTTTCATATTTCTAACTTTTTATGCATAAATATATGCGGACATTTTTTTTTAACATCGAAATTTTGCGAACAACAGTCGATTTTCTTGAGAGTGTGAAGAACTATACTGTCATGTATGTTTTTGTTGAGTACTAGTTCTTTGATTATATGGAAAGTGGTTAATATCTGATAATGGCATACCAACAGTTAATAACTATAAGGATCGTGTACTATCATACTGTGAACACTTTTAGAGATTGGTTATCATTGCCAATACAGTCTGAGATGGCACTGTATAGAAAAGACTTCGGCAACTTTGCACGAACAGATCATAGAAGAACTTTTTGAACGCAAAACAATCGAAGATTCAATGATAGTGATGCGATACGATTGAAATAACAGTTTTACGTGATACAGCAGAAGCAGAATACACTAGAATTTTGTATATTGACATTATACAAACTTTCCTGCATGTCTTCAATAATCTAATCATTTCTCCACATTGGCTAGCCGAAAATGGCTGGCTTCAACTTTGATGTAGCAATCTTCCTGTTGAAATAAATATCCAGTAGAACGACTTCTGGAACTGCTGTATTATTGGAAGTTATCTCACTGCACCGAGGTCATGGAAACAGGCAGTCTACTTGACTCTGGATGAATCCATGATGCTACTGTTCCCGGTACTTGTACTTAACCACATGCACAAAGCAGTAAGATCAATTATAAATTTACTGCACTGCCCACCATTCTCTCTTAGTCGAAACGGCATTGACAGCGTGCAATTTTTGAATGAGAAAAGAAAGTTTTGTTAGAAAACCACAACTTTTTGGCAAATAATCCTTTAAAGGCGGCTATTTTCCTGATCAACGCGCTCAAGATGTTATTCATGTCTATATCTCATCATTAGTTAGCCGAGTTCTCTTCTCACTAATACATGAGCAAAAAACGTACACTGGGAACAAATTGAACGTGGAATACCTTCATATGTATTTTTTACATGTTTATTGCTTTGTTTATTTAAAATATTACACTAAAATACTACAGAAAAACATCAGAACAATGGTGAATAAGGTGCCTGTTGTTGAAGCACAACAACACCTTTCAAATCTTCAATTTGTCTCTATAAATCATTTTCTATTCGCTTTGGACATGTGTTTATCGGTTAAATGGAAAATTGAAAGACCTAAGGCATAACCTCACTTAGTTGAAGGATTAAAGTGAGTTCGATGATAGAATAGTAAATTGTTAATCTATTTTCGGAACGATGATACACATATTACAATATTCCCGTTTATTTTCATGGATAAATACTGCAGTCTTCTGTTCAAAATAGGAGTACAGCACTTGACTTTGTTAGTAACATATTCAGGTGTATCCAGTCAAATTAAACATATTCTGTCTATAAATTAACATTATAAAATATATCTTATGACGTTTTGAGATTAGCTATGAGATTTTGATTCTAGCTCACAATAATTTTATTTTCATATAAGTTT